CCTCTCTCATCTTGGGTTAATCATTTCAGTTAATTCCAACTTGACTTGGTCCTACACTATTAGTAATGCTGACCAATCATTAAAGTCTATTTTATTACAGCATCCAAAATATCTAACTTTTAAAAAGCAACTTAGGCAATCAAACATTATATATCTTAAACAACTTTGCACTGCAGATAACAGCACTTTACTTAACTGAAAACATCTTTTACCAAGATTATTATACTTATCTAAAGGAAGAAAACCATTCTGGTTCTCTTACTTAGAAGATACAATCTTAGTACACTCTTATTATCAAAATATTTTATTACATTACCAATTACCAGGCCATAACCCTTATGCTTATCATACTATTAATACATCCAAAAAACTTATTAAATTCAAACTCTGAATACTCTTATACTACAATGATGAAATTATTATTAAGAAAATACAAAAATATTTTCCATCTTCTAATCACTACTCTATTACTCATTGGCTCTAATATAGACTTAAATTACACAAATTTTACTCTTTACCCTCTGTCAGCTACAAACAATGTACAGAATAACATCTTAATTCTTATAGAATTAACCAAACTTATATCATTGAAGTTTCTGCAATTATTTTTGCACAATTTCTTGGCAGAACTAACTTATAGCACCAACTCAACCTCAATATCAACTACTTAAACCTTATCGGCTCTACAGCTGTCAGACATTCAACTCACATTCTTTCTCCACCTAATATCTCTATTATCAACTCTATCATCTCTGAAATCTTTATTCCAAATGAATCTACTAACAAACTTATACCTATCTCACATTACAACATTTTTTACTAGCAAGTATCTTTCTATACTGACAGATCTGTAATTGACATTAGTACTGACCAATACACAATAGGTATTGGTTGGATCCAAGTCAATAATAACAATCAAATTATTAATTCCTTCTCTGCTAAAATTAAATTCTGGCCTTCATCTTACAAAGCAGAACTCTTTTCAATTATTACTGCAATCTCAACTGCTCTTCAAAACTGTATTATCAATATCTTTACAGACTCTCAATCAGTAATTTCTAAATTTAATAATCTTCAACTTAAGTCAATTCACCTTAACAAGTTACTCAAATTTAATTCATAGCCAATCTGGCATACTCTTCTAAACATTATTAAATTATACAAATTACAAATTATCTTTTACAAAGTACAAGCTTATTTAGATAACTATCTTAATGAGCAAGCAGACTCTCTTGCTAAACAACACCCACTGTCATCACTTCTTTTATTTAACTATACAAATCTTTACAACTCTTATTATATTCTTCAATAGGAATACCATTATATAGAACTTCTTACAAAGCATTTTATTAAACAAATCTGTAAAGCTCACATCTTAGCTATATAAGCATTACAAAAACAAAACAGTGAATAGTCATACTTCAACCAAGACATTAACTAAAAATTCACTTGGCTTTACTTCAATCATAATTAAAAACTCTCATACAATATTACCAACTTTAGACTTAATTAACTAAAATTTTTTAAAACAAAAATTCTTTTTAATGAGTTGCCAACATACTCATTATATTATACTATTTATTCAAGCCAATATCCAGACACTGCTTGCTTCTTTTGTAACTTATCTAAATTATATTCCTACTGGCACACTTGTGCTAATTTATCTTTATTCAATCAAATTATCCAAACCTCTACTAACCAAATTATCTCTAATAACTTGCCTGATCTTGACACCTACTATAAATATAACTTAATTAACAAAATTCTTCATTATCCAGCTCTTAATTCTCTATATATATTACCTAATACTTACTATCCCAATCCTACTCTTAAATGACTTATTCTAAAGTCTCTTATATCAACAATTCAAAACTTTGTCATTTTATACAAAATGGCCTCTCAAGTTATTATTAATATTCTTCTCAATATTAATGAACAATCATATGAGCAACTATGAAAAACATACTATACTCACTTCAATTGGAAAAATTAACAAAACAAACTCCAGTCTCAACCAATTAACCAATCTTTAAGATCATCTAATCCGATTAGAAAACATACTCAATCTCGAAGAGATTATACTTATTCATACCTTTGTGGACTTTCTGATCAATTACATTCTCACTCTAATACATGCCTTTCTATTGGCCAAGCAATTTGAAAATTAACATTTGGTTCATCTTATAGATTAAATATAGCATATCATTAAATTATATATTAAACATTTAAATCTAGATAAGCTTTGATCACTCTAGTAAGTTTAGATCACAGATAAACTAGTTTGAGCTTTTATTCTTGCATGTAATTTTCAATTTATTTGTTTTGTACAAATAGTAGTAGCTATATAGTTAGCAGTTTAATGATTAGCCCTGACTGAAAGTGTTGGCCTCAGCCATAGCATATATATATATAACTATTTTAAATTATTAATAAAGATATAAGCAAGACCTCATCTTAATACTAAAAAAAAAAATGAAGTATTTATTGAAAGATAAAAGTAATAGTATTAGCTTAGTTGTATTAAAGAAGAAATTTGTAAAAAATAAATTTAAACAAGACCAAGTTAGATTAATAGTTTGGATTAGTTTTGTTATAAAATTTAAGTAAACTATTGTAATTAATATTCTTTAGTAGATTTATTTATATATAGATAAATATATATATTTTTTTTCACTTTGGCAGTTTTGCTAATACTCTTTATTAAGATTTCTGTTTATATACACAAACATTTTTAGACTTAATGTACTGAGTCGACATTCTGCAATTACTTCTATGAGCACTTACAAGCAATCTGCCAAACCAGTTGCCTAATTTCTAAAGAAAAAAGAGGACCTGGGGGGCTCATCTGACTACTACCCTATAATAGAGTATTACCAATCTAATAACACTTTCTTGTAGAGAAGTGAAAGAAGAAAAAAAAAACACCAAACTAAACTAAACTAAAAAGAGATATAGGAAGAAAAAAGAAAAGAAAAAAAGTGTCAGAGAGCATACCTTATTCATGACCATTTAGGATACTAGCACTTTAAACCTGTGCTAAGGATCTAACTATACTTTAACCTGTGCTAACGGGATAAAAATTTTATATACATGATTTTAGGAATTACTATATATCTCTAATTTGTTATAATCCTCCAACTTAAATTCTTCTTCATTTCTTTATTACACTATATGTTAGGCCATACATGTAATTGTTGTGTTCCTATTACATCATGTTACAACACATAACTGTTCAAAAAAAGAAGTGGTAAACAATGCCGATCTTTTGTAGGGAGGAAGCTAATTTCTTCACTTTTGAGTAAGAAAAATAAAATAGGTAGAGAAGGTCGACAGATGTGATATGTAAAAAGCCAAACTAAAGAGAGTGTTTTCAACTGTTTGTTTGTTTTCAAGCTTTTGATAACCTTTAACTAGAGTTTTTCTCTTTTGTTTCCAGAATATCCTTCTGGTTTGAGTACTAAACATATTGAGGAGTTCACTAACAGACAAGACTTGACTTCAACACAAACTACCAGAAGAGTCGCCTGCACCTCAGTTTTTTCATGTACTTATAGTTCATTAGCAACAATCTGCTTTATATTAAACAGAATCAAAGATATCATCATCTTAAAAGCATAACTCTTCAAACTGTTTGATACTGGTTTGGTTTAAGTGATCATTGAGAAGGTTGTATATAGATAAATATTATTTTATAAAAAAATATTTTTATTATTAGCAATAGTAATTTGTTCTTAAAAATGAATTTTATTTTTAAGATTATTATAGTAAATTAAAAAAAAAACCTTATAAATAGATAAGACTTTTCTAATATGATTAATAGATATAGCAAATTTTATGAATTAATTAAATGGAAAATATTATTTAAAATTAGTTAAAAAAGATAAAAATGTAAAAATGTAGTTTTGTACTTTATAATAATAATTAACTATAATTTTAGTTTTTTTTTTTAAATATTAATGATGAGGCTATGCCTTTAACTTTATTGAAATTCAATTGAAGTTTTTACAAAGAAAAGCTTGCTTTTAAATTACATATAAAGAATAAAAACTCAGACATATAATCTGTATAAAGAGTATAACATTACTAAATATCATAGTCAGAACTTATTATAAAATTTTTATAGTAGCAGAATGCTGATTTATTGCAATGAAAATATTTTTTTTACTAAATAAACATCTTTTAAATCTTTAATTAAAGTTGTAAAACATATTATTATGATTCTAATAATAATAGAACTATTAAAATTAATTATGTAAATCACAGTATATAAAAATCTTTTTCTTTTTTACTATATAGGTTTTTCTTATTGTCAGAAATGCTTAGCATTTCATCACTATATAAAAGTTATAGTAAAATGCTCACTATAGTTTTATATCCTTTAACTATAAACTGCTCCTTAATTATTTAGTTAATTGATTTGATAATTAATTAATTAATAATTTTTGACCCAATTTTAGTTAGTTAATCAATTAATAGTTTGGCCAAAAATTATTAATCAATAAATTTTCTCTTTTTATCAATCATAAGACATATTCAATTATATTATAATAATATTAAATCATATAATATTATATTATAATAATGTTATAACAATAAAGTTGTATTTGATTATTATTTGTATATATTTTTATTAATTATCAAATTAGCTAACTAAATGATTAATCAATTAATCAATTAGTTAACAATAATTGATATGCAATTAATTTTTTAAAAATATTCAATAACTATGATTATATCTTTACTCTGATTTATAATACTGCATTCAGGATATATTCACTTGTTAGAATTTTATATATTATGCTTAAAATTATCTTTTTTTAAAAAAGATGCAATTGTTTAACTCCAAGCTAATCTATATATATCAGTTAATTGAAAGGTTAAAAAAGATAATAACAAATTAAAAAGAATTCTTTTTTTAGATAATAAATAAGAATTAATAGATCAACTTATCCAATTTGCTAATACTATTCAAGAAGGCAATAAGAGAATTCTTGGAAAATATGTATATAACATTAAGTAAAGTTATTCCAAAAATTAAAAAAATAATATTTAATTTGGCAGATGAAACATTAATATTATCAGATAATACTCTGTTTTTGGATGAAAACACCGTGTTTAGGTTGGAAGATGAAGAAGTACAACCTATTAATTTTGATGATAAAGAAGTTATAAGTAATATTACAAAAAAAATTTTTTTAATTAAAGCCCTCTTAGATACAACAGATATTTTAGAAAAATAAAACAGAATATTTACAAAGCACTAATCTACTATTAAAATAATCCAAATGATTTTGGTTTAATGGCAGTTTTATTAGATCTATATTACAAAGATTTGGATTTTCTAGATGATGATTCAGAAAAGCAACTAATTATTCAAAAGCTTTATAATAAATTCAGTGAACTAGAAGAACAAGCATCTGAATTATCCATATGTCTAACTTTACCTAATACAGAACCTGCAATATAATCATATAAAATATTTGTTATTACTATTAGCATTAAGCACTAAAAATTTTTTAGACTAGTAGAAAATGTATTCTTCAAAATTTTCAAAACTTACCAAAATAGCCAAAAAGTATCTTACAATACTTGTGATATTAGTATTAAGTAAATAATTGTTCACAGATGCTGGCAATCTTATTAGCTCTAAAAAAAACAAGCTTAGATCTGAATTTAGTAAGTCAAATGTTATTTTTAAAAAAGAATCTAAAAGCAATATATATTTTTATGCCAGAATGTAATAACAATGAATCATAATAAAGTAAAAGTGTTATTAAAGATGAAAAGAAAGTATTTAAATAATATTAAATTCAGAACTAAGATGGCAATTCTAACAGACAAAAATTAATCCTAAATGCAATTATATATTACAATATATCTGTATATTAAAAATTTATTTGCATAAAGTATGAAATATTTACATTTTGTAAAACAAATTTAATTAAATAAAGTACTGTTAGTATAATATAGATTGATAAATTTGTACTTACATAGATTAGAATTTTGTTGGCTCTTTTTTTTTTTAAAAAAAAAAAAGCTAATACATAAAAGTGTATTCATTATTCCACATGTTCTCTTTTAAAAAATATATATTTCACTTTCAGTCATCAAATTTGCAAGTATCTAATAAACTTTCTTAGAAAATAAGTTAAAAAAAGATTATTTTATTACTAATCTGAATTTAAATTTGAATTAATCCAGATTTACTTAAATTCAAATTACTAACTGGATGCATTAAAGGGCATATGAATTTTATCTGAATTGCTCTAAAAATTTAATATTAAAGCTCTAGTATTTATTATAATTGTCAATATAATTAACAAAAAATTAAAATATTAGATTGTTTTAAAAAAAAATATTAATATAACTAACTGTTAGTTAATCTAGCTGTTAGTATAACCAAAGTAATATGTATTTATTTTTTTTTTTTTAATATTAATGGTGAGGCCATGCCTCTATCTTTATTGAATATTTAATTGAGATTTTACATGAAGT